GTCATAAATAACACTTTTGTGTATAAATTGCTTTGATTTTTAATGATACAATTAATTAATAGGTATGGGCCCAAATATGGGAGAAAAGAACATCAGAAATTTTTGAGAGAAAAACTATATTACATGAAAAAAGCCATATGAAAGAAAGAATGTGTATGATTCCAACTGATAGTTAATTCAGAATTTAAAAATGAGTAATGTTTAGAGTTATGCCATATTTATGAATTTTTATCCAATTCTCTAACTTATGTTAGGATAAACGAGAGCTGCATTGCACTTTGCATGGAACTGGATACAATGACATCAGTGTCAGTCTATGTATCCAGTGTCACATGGATAGCACAGAGGAAACTACGATTTCTCTAGTTTGTCCTTTAGGTGCCTTGCATTGATTGTTTTGTACCCTATACATAATTTTCACATTTAATTTTCAGAGCAGCACTTTTATTATACCCATTTTCCAGAAGAGGGATATGAAGTTCATAAAATTTAAGTAATTTGCCTAACATACCAAATAATTACCTTTGCTCTACTGCCTATAGTTTTATCAGGTTTACAGCTCACTGCTGAGTGTTGAGGTGTAGATACTGCAGGTCCTCCTGATACCTGTTCTCACTGGACTGATTTCATCTTGCATACTTTGATGGCTAATTTTCTTTTTTAAAAGATATTTTCTGCTTTTTGCTCTCATTACCACCTCAAATCTCTGTGTTTTAATTTTGCCATCTTAATGTTCTCTCTTTTTAAAAATAATTTTCATGCTTGCCAAGACTCCTCCAACTAATGAGAAAAAATTCTGCCTTCCCCATGGCTAATCAAATAACCACAGTATTTTGAATTTCATCTAAAGATCTTTTGCTTTCCATGTGTTCCTATGGCTAGCTTCTATTGCCTAAGGGTTTGGCTGTATATTTTGGGATTGTGTTTTTTGATAAGGAGGGTGAGGTCCAAAACTATACTTGGAGTTTGAAAAGCAGATTATCTCTCTAGATAGCTCATCTTTTTTTTTTTTCTTTTCTTAGTTTTGCGACATAGAGCCCCACCTTCTCTTCTTTTAAATCTCACTATATAAATTTTTTTGTTATGGCAGAAACCTCCACATGGATTCCAGAAAAAAATGAAGCTGGAGATTGTAGACAAAAGAAATCCCGTGTTTATTAGAGTTGCAACAGTTGCAGACACGGATGATCACAAAATAAAAGTAAGTGCTTTCTGCTGTGATTTTGTTTTGACTTTTTGTTACAAGACATCTTGGATGGAAACCTTAGTAGATTTTTGATTTGTCAAGTCCTGTAATTAAATTAGTAAAACCACAGGAATATACAAATTAAGTGCCTGCACATCTTTATAAGTCACTATTTATCCAGTTTTTTTTCCTTTAATCTGCAAGAAGTTTTCTCTTTAATTATGGCTGACTTTTAAGATTTGGTATCTACTTTTTCTAAATGCACATGCAGAATATT